GCCCTGACAACCGTTCTATTTTTTTCTACCAACCCGCATAGTTTATTTACTTTTTTACCATATAAATGTAAAGGCCTGATGAGAATTATCGAAAACAAACGTCATTTCGTCATTTCATCTTCTGAAATTTTCAATAGAATTTTCGCAAAAATCAAAAATACTTAATAAGTGTTCACATTTTCTATAAATTTACAACATTCTTAAAAATTCAGGTATTTTATATTGAAAACGTAAGCAGAAAGATTCTTTCTTATACTTATTTGTTAGCAAATTACGCTGGTTTCAAAGCTTTCACACGAAGGAAAACCATATTTTGTTTTTAAAAATATTCATCTAATTGTGAAATATTGTACGACGGTACAATGCTCTTTCAACTTGCATTGTAACTGTTTGTTTACTTATGTCCCTCATAAAGTATACCGTATAGTTCACAACAGTCGCAAACGTTTATGAGCACTGTATGTTATTTTCTTAATAAGATACAGTACTGTATGATATTTGTAACATGGAATACATATAACTTGTAGACTGGAAACCCTTTACACAAACGCAAAGGCAATTCCAGCTCTTGCATATTCGGAAATCGCAAACTTAGTTAAAATTGCAAAAAATCCCATCAGAGAACTCAGAAGAGCATTTGGCGAGTGAACACTTTCGATACATTTTCCTCAGACCAATACATTTATAGGAGAGGGTTAAAGTTAAACAAGCGATCGCTAAGGTTCGTAGTTGCTTACAGGCGGGAGGCAACCAGAGCACGGTTTAGTGCACGCCGCTAAGTGACTGTGGGCCACGCCAGACATGGAGTTTGCACGAAGTTCTATTGTTCACACAAGGTCGGTTTTCTCAACTTGATAGCGGTCGCTTCTGCTGTTCTTAGGAGGCACTGACCCGGAGACTATGGATAATTTGGTGGGACCTTGTAGATCCTCGACCTTGAGATGACTGTTGATGGCAACCTATCCTATTTTTTTCTACGCAAAATAAGTTTCATAGAAAAAATTAATAAAACCTTTGTTGCTGAGAAAATTCGCGAGAAATCCTGATCATGGCGTCTTATTAAGGGGTCATTCACAACGTCTCCTTGAAAGGGGTCTTATTTTCGGCGGGTTTTTCTAAACGGTCGGGATACCCGTTCTCACGAAGCAGGTCCTGTGCCATTCTGAACTACTTCTTGATGCTGTCTGCCGAACACACTTCCCTAGTCCTTTGCGCTGAAAAACGAATTATGTTGCATGCAACTCTTCGCGACCCTCAGCTCTCCCCCCCCCAGCAATAAGTAAACAAAACCACAAAAAAAGTTACAGGCATGTGGAGGGGCAACGGTTGGCCGTAACAAGGTGCAAAAAAGCATTTTAACTGGGGCAATAAATAAATTGAGCACATTTGACAATTATTACATGAAGATGAATAAGAACAGAGGTAAAACGTGCATAAATATTTAGCGATATTAACCGGGGAAATTTGTAGTGGAATTGCTCAGGATCGGGAACACAATTTCTCTATTTCCACCATTAGTTGTGAAAATTCCATTTTCGGCCTGCAACTCATTACTATTGCTGTTGATTATGGATAGGAAGCACTTTCTCTGGCTCATCGTTGGAAGGTAACTGCCTTTTATCAAGTCTTCATCTCTGTACAACTGTGTTTCCTTCACACAGGTCTGGCCAACTATCTGCTATGAGAACGCCTCTCCTACAAGCCTCTTGTCCTCATGGAATCAGCAAAACAAAGATTGCTGCGACATAGGTGGCAAAGGACAAGTGTTTATGCAAAATCATCATCTCTGATTAATGAAATACGCCTATAGTGTTCAGAACTCCAAAATGAGTGTCAGACCTAACTGTGATAAGGTGACTGCCACCGCCCTGGAGAAAAGCCTGATATCCTTGGGATGGCAGATACGTGCACACAGGGACGCAAACAACTTGGTGGCGTTCGCAGCACAGGAGGTCGCGTCAGCCCTCTCAGAGAGGGGACAAATTTTAATACGCAACTTCTCGTCGAAAGGAGGTATCGAGGCTCAGACAGAGGATCTAAAAATGAATCCTGTTTAAAAAAAACTGACGCTGATCCAGTCATCTTCATTGATGCCTGCCAATAAG